TGGGCATGGCAGGGGAAGGATACTGCAAAATCCCATTCCTTCCCCACCCCACTAACCTGTTTTTCAGCTCTTGTGAAGGGCAACAAAAAAAGACCCAGCCAATCAGCTGGGACTCAGGAGGCAGAGAATAGATGGGGGTGGGGCCAGTCAGAGGCAAGATGTCTTCAATATCTAAGGAAGCATGAGTACTGTTCTTTTAGTAGCTGAGAGCTAATCAAGAGTCTCCACAGGAGTGATTGTGGGTGGGACAAAGGGCTAAAAACATCAAGATGACAGCTACAGCCATGCAATCAAATCTCCATGTGTCAGGGACAAAGAAAAAAAATCAGGACCATACATTAAGTTCCAGTTAAGATTTTTTGTTCAAGCCCATACGCAAGAATCTAGTCAATTAATTGTCCATAATAAAATGGTGATAGACATGAGTCAACAGAATTCAAGGAGGTTGGATTCAGATCAAAAGCCTTGGTGGCACAGTGGTTAGAGTGCAGTACTTCAGGCTACTTTTGTTGACTGCCGGTTGCTTGCAATTTGGCAATTCAAATCTCACCAGGCTCCAAGTTGACTCAGCCTTCCATCCTTCTGAGGTGGGTAAAATAAGGATCCAGATTGTTGGGGGCAATATGCTGACTCTGCAAACATCTTAGAGAGGGTTGTAAAGCACTGTAAAGTGGTATATAAATCTAAGTGCTACTGCTATAGCTTGTTAGAAGGTCCTAGTGCATTTTATTTGCTTTATTTTCTGCCTTCCACTAGATGGGGAAAATCTTGAACCGTATGAACTCATTTAATTCATATATAACTTTATCAGACGTGCTTATTTGTGAAAATGCAACGCACTCAGATTTAGAGTGAAAGGTAGCACAGTAATCCTATGCTTATCAGGAACAAGGTGAAGCAAAGTTAATCAAGGATTTGAAAAGAACCTTGACATCTTTAATCAAAGGGTACTATTGAACCTGGAATTAATAGCCATTATTCCCGGAACAATTCATGTTGACATTTAAATAAACAAATTATTTCTGACATTGTTCCCTGTCAAGATTTTTTTTTCATCACAATCATATTTTAATTTCATGCACCTCTAATTTTGCTATTGTTAATTTTACTCCTTTAATTCTAATTTCCACCTATGTTCCACTTTTCTCTATGAAAATGCCCCAGAGTTTAGAGATACATCCATGTTTAATGAATATTTTATATTTGCACAGGTTTTCTCTCTCTATGGAGAAGAAAATAATCCCATCCCATCCATTTCACTGGCCTTTGGATATAATTTAAACTTAGATTGCATTTGGTACATTTGTTTTTTAAGAACCAGTTCACAGATTCAAGAGAAGTGAATAGTTTTTTTCCCCCCATATTTTCAGGCTACAGGTGAGAATTATATAGATTAAATTATAGATCATAATTAACACTTCAAATAAATACATATTTCTAAATTTGTTCAGAAGCAAATTGCATGAAGTGTATTGGGACTTGATTCCAAATTTGGGTGAAATTTGCTGAAATGTGTATTTTGCACTCTCCATCCATTTTTCTTTAACCAATAGTCAGTAGGGAAGAAACCATATAAATTATGGATGGCATTAATGGGATTCTGTCCTCTGTGTGGTCTAAATATGAATCCTTTAGTCCCAAAGACCTTTTTAGATAGATTCAGACTGGGATATGGAACAGGGATGGTATGGTCATGTTCTTGGATGATTTGTAGTGGGAGCAGGGTGGTACAGTGAATCCATTCTTGCTCTTGTTCACCTCTCAATGGCTTTCAATACCATCAATCATGCTATCCTTCTGGACTGCTTCCAGGAGATAGGAGTGGTGGTTGTGCAGTCTTTTTTTACCAATTGATGTTGATGGGGAGGAGAGATCCATCCCACAGCTCTACTTTGTGGGGGTGCCACAGGGTTCTGCACTCCCTCCCCTCCTGTTTAACATCTACATGAAGCCTCTGGTGAGGTGATTTGATGGTTTAGACTGAGTTATCACCAGTATGCTGATGATAACCAGCATTACATCTCTACCTTAAGCTAACTGAGTAATACCTTGGACATCTTGTCCCAGTGCTCTGGGGATCTGGATGGGTTGCAACAGGCTTCTGTTCTTTACATGAAGTTCTCTTGAAGAGCCTTTGGAAGCTACAACAGCTGCAGAATATACAGTAGCTCCAGCTTTGCTTCCTTGGCATCCAAGAGAACATGGCAGCTCAGCATTTTAAGATGTTGAGCTTATCAGCTGGAACTACTGCTGGAAGACAGCCCAGGTTTGAGACTGTGCACTTCACAATGGGGTGAGTTCCCATCCTCGCTCCAGCTCCTGCCCCCCTAGCAGTTTAAAAGCATGTAAATGCAAGTAGATAAATAGGTACCCCTTTGGTGGGAAGATAACAGAGGTCCAAGTACCTTTGGCATATAGTCATATTGGCCACATGACCAGGGAAGATGTCTTCAGACAACACTGGCTTCCTCAGCCAAGAAACAGAGATGAACACTGCACCCTAGAGTCAGACACAACTGGAGAGGAAGCTTTACCTTTGCTTGGCATCTAAAATTAATCAACTTGAGATAACTGTTCCTGAAAATCTGCCTGAGGATCATCAGCCCAAGATCAGCCAGGGATCAAATCCCCAAAAGTAAGCATTATATTAGAGAAAAAGCATAAGTGAAGCCAGGAATAAAAATCTGGTGAAAAAACAATGTATATGAGCCATGCAAAAATACAAAGATCTGCAGAAACAGACTAACCACTGGAATCCAATTTTGTTTTGTTTTAGGTAGATCAGCTTGAATCCAACTAGAAAAAGTAGAAACTGGATTTGGTTACCAAGACAACCTTTCTAGCATAGTGACAACCACACAAAACTGGGAAGGCTTCTCATAGCTGAAAAGTATAGTCCACATGTTGGAATTCTTCCCATGTTTCTGTCATTTCGTGCCAAATACAAAGTATATTTTGTTCAGTTCCACATAATCCAGGGGCAGCTACTTGCTTCAGAGAGTGCATTTAACAAGGGTCTTCACAAAAGAGCTTTCTCTTGACCTTCTAAAGAAGTGGGTCAGCACAGGTGGTAGGTCAAAGCAAACCTTGTTTCAAAGGGTGACCTGGACTTTCTGCTATTTGACTCGCTTTAACAAATACTGTTTCTCATAAGAGCTTTGTCTACATACCTCAGGTGTGGGAGGTAGAGAAACATTTGAGGGCTCATAAAAACTTCCCCAATTTTTTTAAAAAAACTGTGATCTTTCAGTTTGTACTGGAAGAGGAAAAATAGTACTACGAACTGCATATGCACACTATTTTAACCCTTTCACAAGGCACTATATAGCCTCAAATCCTGTCACTTGATGACCCAGACATATACACAGACCTGGTATGATTATGACTTTTTTTTATTCACTGTATATGGCTTAAAAGCCACTGTGAGTGGCTAAAATATTTTAAAACAGCAAAGAGATACAAATATTTTACTTTATTTGTCAAATTTAATAATAACCAACACACCCCAAATAATATAAAAAAAGCACAGTCCACAGTCAAAATTCACATTGCATGATAACAAGATGGACCACCCAATACTCAAAGCTGAATACTCAAAGGAAGAATCAGACTTTTGGAGCAGACTGAGGTGCACCTATGGTATAATTATCCTAACTGCTGCATTCTGGACTAGCTGATGTTTCCAAATGATCTTTTATAGCCGCCCTATGTAGAATATGTTACACTAACCAACATGATATAGCTATCCTTAGTAAGGTGGGTAACATGAAATGGCCAAGCAAATACAAATGTACTTTTCAAATACACAGCTATTTGAAGTTACAACTGCCAAAACATCTTAGGGAGATATTTACATGAGCAAGATTTGAACAGCTTGACACAATGGTCAAGTACGGGAGATTCCATTCTATACCCTACAATGGACGTCTATGCATTTGCAGAGCAGCAGAGGTAGAAGATCTAGCTCACATCCTATATGATTGTTGCCTGTACAAAAGGGTGAGAGACAGGTAGCTTGGTCTATATATCAAATAAATGACCCAATGGGATCCCCACATCAGAACCATTTACCTTATGTGTGGCCAGAATCTGAAAATAACTTTTAACATAGCACAGTACTTAAGCAAAATGGTTTGGTTGAGATTGGGACTGATTGGAGTAGATTGTAGAGGTGACACCAAAATATAATTTTATCATATTTTATCTATATCTTACATTATTGTATTTTATTCTGTTTTCATCTTAGATTGTATTTTATTCCAATTTCATTTTAAATTGTATTTTATCCAATTCCATTTTAAATTGGTTTTATCAAATTTCAGTAAGAATTTGTTTCTGGAACTCTGCATTTTGATATGGCCCAAGGGCTAATCAATCAATCAATGAATAAATAAACCAACATTAATGTTCAACAAGCGACCACCTAACTTTAACTCTAGCCCTAACTCTAACCTTAACCTCTCAATCCATAGACAACTGAGTTAAAATAAATTTGTGCAAGCTTAAAAGTCAGTCACGACTAGTGGGGTAAACCTGCTGGGACACCTTTGCCTACCTCCTAGTCACCAGTGCCACCCATTCCTTGATCAGGAACCTTAGCTTTAAATACTTTTCTGATTCTGCATCACTTCTGAGAGGCCAATGAGGCCTCCTCAGAAATAACGATGGAAAATGGCGCAGTGGTCAGAGTGCAGTACTGCAGGCTACTGCTGCTGACTGCCAACTGCTTGCAATTTGGCAGTTCAAATCTTACCAGGCTCAAGGTTGACTCAGCCTTTCATGCTTCTGAGGTCGGTAAAATTGTTGGGGACAAACATGCTGACTCTGTAAACTGCTTAGAGAGGGCTGTAAAGTACTGTGAAGTGGTATATAAGTCTAAGTACTATTGCTATTTCCAGAAACAAGTGATTCTAAAAACCAGTGTTGACCTTTGTCACTTGGACTGAGATAAGCCTAAACCTGTTCTTCCTCATCTAGACGCTCACAACTCCTGAGCACAGAGATAGATTAGTTCTGGGAAAAAGTGTGGGTATTAGGGGGAAAAGTCATTATATATAAACAGAAATTTTATGATAACATTAGACAATGTTAGCATTTGAAACCTGTTTCACAGATATTCAAGAAAAGACCACTGAACAAAATGGACTTTGTGGGGTTCTATCCAATAAGACTTGTGGGATAATAGGGGGTAAGAACATCCCTGGAAAAACCTCTCTCCACTGGAGCTGGTCCCTGGTGCCCAAAAAGTTGGAGGCCATTGATCTTAAAGATAAAATATTTGCAAGAAAAAATATGTTGAGGATATATGTATGGGGGGAAGGATGGGTAATCACACCTGTTGAAAGATATACAACATTTGTAATGATTTGCTGAAATAGAAACCCTTCAGGAGAAAAGACACTCAAAGGCATGGAAGTTGAGGTGAAATGAAATAAGGCCACTGCTTCTTGTTTTTGGAAACAGACTATGAAAAAGACCAAGTGCTGATTATATCTTCCACCAACTTCTCTTTTCCAAGCAGTGGAGAAGGAACTATTTTCCAGGTTCATAATCAACTGAACTTAGATGGGGGTAATTCCTGAACTAAGATGCCACCACATAGCAGCAGGGGTGGGCTTCAAAAATTTTAGCAAGGGGTTTTCTGCCCAGGGACTGGGTGGGCATGGCCATGGTGGGCATAGCCTAGTTGGCCTCCTGCACCATGACATGGGGGGTTGCCCTCCCCAGGTTCCTGAGGCTTTCCTTGAGCCTCCAGGAGGGCAAAAATGGCCTCCTGGGCTGCAGAAGCTCTCTAAAAGTCGGAAATGGGCCCATTTCTGGCCTTTCCAAACTTCCAGGAGGCCCATTTTTCACCCTCCCTGAGCCTCTGCACACACTCTGCACTTACCTGCATCCAAAATGGGCTGTGTGGGGAATCCTTGGAGAGGTGGGGGGAAGGAGCCAGCCAGGAGTGGGATTTGAGGTTTCTTTGAACTGCACAGAATCTTAGGTAGGGCATCTCCCGCACCCCCGCAAACCCCAGCAGCCCACCTATGCATAGCAATATGTTAAAATTTTGGGACCATCTTCTATCACATAATGGTGTACTCAAATTTTAGGATCATCTTCCAGAAGAAGCTCAAGGAATTATATTCTAATAGATTATGAGAAAAAAACATTTTTCTCCTTACCTGTTTAAATGCTATCAAGAAGTATTTCTTTTCAATCAGAGAAACAGTTAATTCAGAAATCCTGGAGACTGCAGAGTATAAATCAAGGACTGACTTACCACAATCTAACCTTGTTATAACATAAGTTGTGTAGAAAAGGAAATGGGAAGATCTAAAGGAAATAGAAAGAGTAACTGACTGTTTATCAAAACTGGCTGGAAGCTGCGTAATCCATTTTTCATGTTTGGCAATGGAACTAAGACTTTTTCCGTTAGCAATCTGTGTTAAAAAATAAAAGGAATGAAACGTGCAAAAAAGTATGTATGTTGGATTTGTCTGGTCATTTCTAAAGAAACCAAAGCCTCCTGACAAAGTATCTTTATTTGCCATTGCTGAATTTGAACCAGTTAATATAATTTAATTTAGTCCAAGCAAATTAGGATTGAAATATGGTTCCCTATATGGAGTTCAAACTTAGTTGTAGATTTTGATTTAGTTAAAGGCAAGGGTGGGTTTCTACCGGTTCTGTCCACCTCTCCAGAACCGGTAGCTCTGAAGAGCAGCAGACATAGAACCAGTTCCATGTTTGCTGATGTTTTTCCCACCCGGGCTGTTACCTGATCTTTATTTCCTGATTTTTCAACTTTAGCTGCCGAACGAGGCACAACTGCAGTTAAAAAAGCAGGAAAAGAGGGCTGTTTCAAAGGCTGCTTTGAAGCAGCACGCAGCATGCTGATGACAATTTACATGCACATGCTTGCAGCATGCAGGGAAGCTCGTAAATGATCGAACCGGTAGTTAACCCTGTTGTATCCCACCCCTGGTTAAAAGACTGACTTGTGTGTAAAGGAAAGAGATGTCAGGTGTAAGAAGTCAGGAGCTATGGTTGTTCAAATTAGTACAAGTTTACTCCATGGTATTTCTGTACAAGAATCTGAACCCCTAATGGAAAAGGCAAATTGGCAGGAGACCAGAGTCAATAGAATTCAAGGAGGAACTGGCTTACATCACTCGTGGACACAAAGAGACTTCAAACTGATGATGTACTTGACCCCTCCTTCAGGCTCAGTCTGGCCATCTCCTACAAGAATTTCATAAAAGAGCTGAAAAAGAGCAGGCTGATACTAGTTGCAACTTGCTCTGATAATGTCTGAATAGGGCAAACACTGGGACATTGTGAGAGTAGCAAGCATGTCAAGGTATTTTCTAAAATGTTAGTGCTGTGCAATCGAAAAAAATATCGTTACATTTTGCCTTTTTTGAAGAACAAATCAAATCAATGTGAAGTTTTCTGCTCAGAAAAAAGATGGTAAGAGAATTCTGAAGAAAACAAAAATTATTCAGAAAGATTCGGCAATAGAAGGAAGGAAGGAAGGAAGGAAGGAAGGAAGGAAGGAAGGAAGGAGAGAGAAAGAAAGAAAGAAAGAAAGAAAGAAAGAAAGAAAGAAAGAAAGA